ACAAGCTTGTCTTATTTTTGGCACTAATGTGACTGCTGCTGTTGTGGCTGAGAGAAAAGTAAAGCAGTGTTTTAAACTGGTATATCAGAATACTGTGGGTATATTTTACATGCATGAAAGTGTCTTAAGAGCAGACTATATCTTAATAATGATCAGAACGATTTTTTTCACATACTATTGTGAAACCCTTTAGGCTCTATCACTGCTTTACTAAAGCTACTTGTTACTTGTTCATGCTGTGGCTGTTGTTGAAATTTCACAATCATGGTTTGATGCTTTGCATGGAGCTAAGAGGACGTGCTCACCACCAAGTTCAACCATACAGTTCCCAATCAAGCAGGAAGTTGTCAGTGAATATTAAACAGGGATTTTACACTATCACACGAATTCTAACTGCACTTGGCACTGAACTCAAGTTCAGCTCAAACAACGTTTCAAAACAGAAAGTCACAATAATTTCACTTATTATTTTATAACTATGCATTTTCTCAAAATAATAATGTATTATGCTGAAATAATCACACATTTTCTCAAAGAGTAATAACTTGTTCTTGAGTTATTAGTCATTATTTTGCCCTTCTAAATCAAAATCTCAAAAAAGTCATTATTTTAAACATAATGAGTTACAATTTGAACCAGAATCAGAGAATGATAAAAACTATTTGGCTGTGTCCCAAACCATGCACTTCTATACTTAACATCCTACACTTCTAATGGTGGTTCACTATTTTTGCACACTATTTAGTGCTATAGTATGTGGTTTAGGATGTAGCCTTTTGTCCTATCTGGTGTAAGCAGGCTTCCATACCAAAATCATGTGAGTAAAACACATGGTTAAATTGGGCTACTCATGCAAATTGCAAAGTTGCGGCCGTGTTCATTTGCAGGGCAGCTCTTAGCACATAACCCGCTAAACTGGCCACTGCCCCTAGTGCAAAGTGTCCCTAGACTCTCGATAATTAGCACCTCTTTTGGTAAATCTGGCTGTTAAAGGTATAATGTGGTGTTCAACCTCAGTTGGCTACATGGAGGGCAGCAATGTTATCCGCTATGCTACAACAGTTCTTCCATGAACAGTCCAGTGGTTTTAAATAAATTGCCACATTAATACAGAAATCAACTGTTGTCCAGTCATATGTGCAAACATTTCACAACGTGGCTCAGCCAATGGTTTTTACAACCAGAACTTACCATTTAATAATACAGTTTAAAAGGATGGCAGGCTACTGTGAGCAGGAGCTCAGGAACTTTGAGGCTAAAGCTTTGCTAAATATGATGTCAGCTCCACTTTGCAGTGAGATGAAAACACACTGTCATGGGGGCCACATTACCGGGTCATGTCTCTTTATAGAGGCCCAGTCATTACACAGCCTGTGGGCCCTCACCCACTGGTGTAAATCCCTGTCTCTGCATATGAGGCAGTGTGGCAGACTGCTATTCGCAACGTCTCGCCTGTTTAACCCCACTCAGATCAAAGTCTCTCTGTGGAGAAATGTCAGGCTTTTTGAACCCCAGTGTTACACATCACCTTCCCAGGGAGAGCACTCTAAAACCTGCATGACAACAGCAGCGTGGCTCCCTAATCTCCACACCATTACTGGGGAAAACTAGAGAGTATACAGAAGATGTGTACAGTCACACACATAAAACCCCTAAGCGAGCCAAACTTAAATCCGTGCCACAGAGAGGGGAGGAAAGTATGCCTCTTTAAGCCGTGCACAGACTCTGGATATCAGCATAAATCCCACATCAACTGTTGGTCTGAAGCCTTCCACGCCTTCACCGTGTGCAAATCCAGCAAGTGCCAGTTTGTGCAGATGAGTCGACCTTGATTGTGTATACAAATGAGGAAGAAACCGGTTTAGGGGCGTTTTTCTGGGTTAGGAGGAGGAAATTAGGCAATGTCGAAATAGAGAAATGGAGGCAGGAACAGAAAGGCTGAGATCAAACCTCTCTGGAACACATATGGCTGTGCACGTGAGGCGCATGAATGGGCAAAACGTATAGAAGCATCACACAAGCCATGTGCAACTGGGACCAGCTGGCACGGTGATGAGGATTCTCTCCTCATATCACTGTTGTTTGTCTCAGAACATGCTTATTTCTTCTTCTTCATCTTCTTCTTCTTCTTCCCCCACCTCCTCCTGCTCCTCAATTACAATCTAATGATCTTTCTTACAATCAAAGAAGAGCATTTGAGTGTCACACTGATATTATCACATACTACCCACACCTCCATTTCACTAAGCTACATAAATTATTCTACCAAACATGCTGACACACATGGCCATAACTAGCTTAGGGCATGGAGGTTGGTAGTTTTGGAAGGATTTTATAAGATTCCATGTGTAAACAGTGACAAGACTACTCAATCAGCAGTGACCAGTTCTCTGCTGACCTCAGAACAGCTGTGGTTTGGCCATAGAACTTTGTTGCTACGCATTGTTGCTATGCTGTCCAGAGTGACTTTCACTTCTTGAGCTGTACAGGTATACAACACACATACTATAGACTAACATGTAACACCGCTATGATAGAAATGTAAGAGTTTACGAGGGTAATTAATGGATTATGTTTGTAAAGCGCAAATCACATAATTTGTTTTTAGTTGGACCCCTCGTCATTTTGCTAGCTAAATCAGCATGCTTTAGCCTAGGTCCAGTTGCTGTTCAGTTTAGGCTACAAGCTCTCTAGTTGCTATATTAGCGAAAATGAATGATAGTTCATAATGGTTGCATTGTGTTACCTACCCTTTACATACTACAACAAAAACTAGCATATTGATGGAAAAATGTCTAATATAATTTAGAGGCAAAATGTGGAAAAAGAGATACTATGTGATGTCAATTTTCTGCACTGTGAAAAGTCACTCGTCAGATCTACTTAAAAAATTACTTCATGTGGTAACAAGTAAATTAACTAGTTTTATTCAGCCTAAATAAATACTTTGAATGATTCTTTCAATCAAAGTAATTATTTGAGCTAAATAAAACCAGTTCAATTGCTTGTTACCACATGAAGTAATTTTTAAGTAGATCTGACTTTTCACAGTGTAAGATGTTTCACTGCGATTCTATAATTACTCCTTGATTTACAAAAAGTTGTTTTTTGACCTGCCGTTTTTGTACTTGAGCTTCAGTTGTTTATTTCACTGAAGTAATAGTACTCTTACTGATATATGGGTGTAGGCTACTCTACCCACCTCTGTTCATTGCCTGCAGAGATATTCTAACAGACAATTAACAGGTCAAGCCTTTCCTCTATTTTCCCAGCTCTGAGCAGCAGAGTATTTAGATTATAAGATGCATTATCTCCTCAGTTTGCCCAAATTGGTTCTCATAATTATAAATCTTGTCAAGGTTACATGCCAGCGATAATGAGGAATGGAACATTCTGAGATAAATACAGGCTCTTTGATTATACTAAATCTATATCTAGAATTTAACCACTTTCCAACACACTGTACCTACACTGCCTTCGAACCGTCCACGTGACCTGAAGCCCACGAAGCACACATACACCCAAACACAGTCAAGGTTACTGAGGAACAGGTCACTTCCACATGGCTTGGAGGCACAGCCAGATGGGTACATATACATGCACAGAAGCACTGAAGCATCTCTCTGCTAACAGGTGATGCATCCATAAGAGTCACACAGTTCTCCTCATCACTGCTGATGATATGCACAACCAGACTGGCATTCGTTTGTCTACCTGCCAGTTTCTACATAATGCGCAAATACAGTTGTATGCAAAGGTTTGACCCCCTGCCTTCCCCAGCATGTCAAACACAGTGTTTTGTTGATTTGAAATTAACACATTCTTTACAAGGAACAAGTAAATATGCCATTTTAATGCAACTTTCATTGCACAAGTTTAGTTTATTTGCTGTGTTTAACATACTGGAAAAAAATAAAACATAAAATATAAAGTGTCCCATTCATTTCGCACAGGCCCCAGTTTTTTTTTTCCATAATATGTTAATTTCACCAAATAAACAGTAATGCTGTATTAAAATGTCCAGAAGTGTGTTCTCTGTAGAGGAGATGTAACTTATTTTCACTTAGAAAATCAACAGAAAAAAATGTCATTTGACCAGGGGCGCCCAAACTTTTGAATATGTCTGTATTTCTCTTACATCGGAAGGTATGGTAACTACACTACAGGCCAAATGTTTGTAGAAAACACTGACAGAGATGACAGGCAGTAATGTGTCTATTACCATACAACAAAAGGATTTGACTTTTTTGCCACTTAGAACGTTTGTGCAGGTTTACATAACAAAACATGTGTAATTCATCTTTATATGTCTTTATGTTTTTTATATTTCCAAACTCTCTTTATCCCTTAGATAAAGAGAGTTAAACAGGCTGTTTTTACTTTGCCTTTAAGAATGATATATGTAAATTAGTTTTGTTCTTATTGGCTGAGCTGTATTGAGCCTTATTCAAAAAGCAGTCCAGGTTAAAACACACCTTACAACTTCAATGTGAGTGGGCAGGGCTAAACTGCTGTAGGCTAAAGAGGCAGATATCTGTAAATGTGTGGACATCATAAAACCAAAGCAGGCTGTCTTTGCAGCTTAGTTTCTATGTATGACCTGTATGGACTGAGGAGTGAACGGTACTTTTTCAAATTAGACAGTGTTTATATTCTATATTACACTCTTCCGTTTAAGAAAATGAATGAAAATTCTCTTTTTTATGATGTAAGCCCTATAATTTGTTTTAAATATTCTATTGTAAACCATTCGCAGATTTTGGAAAAAGTAAATCTTGTTAAAAAAGACTAAATGTAAACATGTGTTGGTTGTTGGCAAATCAAAGTGTGAAATATATTTGAAAATTCTATTTTTTTAATACGCACACACATTTATGTATATATATATATATATATATATATATATATATATATATATATATATAAATCACTGTCAGTGTCTGCATTTTGGAATAGGAGAAAATGTGAAGAAGCCACATAATGGCCTCAATCTCTCTCACCACTGCGGCTGCGTAGCATCCTAGCCGAGACACCATTGGCTCCAGTGGGGGAGGTGCTGCTAGCGGCTCCGTCCACAGGGGTCAGCTCTCCACCTGGCTGCTTCAGCAGCTCCTGCAGAGTCCTGCACAGCACATGATATCACCAGGATATTGTCATATAAGCCAAATACACAGATATACACTCTCTGAACCAGATCTGTGGCCTATAGTAGTATTAAAGTGGGATTTCACTGTTTTTTTTTAAATTTCTTCATAATTAAATTGTTATGATGTATACAAAGTCATTCAGAGCAGGTTGATGTGAAACACACAATTCTAGAGAAACTTACTGAGTCAAAACTGTTCACAGTAGTGGTGATAGGAACCAGACATCTGAAGAGTTCAATGTCTCTAAAAGCTACTTCACAGAAAGTTGTTACATGAAATAGTTATTCTTCTTAACTAAGTAAAGATGCAGCACTGCTCTGCTTCAGGGTGGCACTGTAGCAAATTGGTTCATCCTGTGGGTCCTTCATATCCTAGCAACTGTAGCTATGTCCAGGATACCTCTGAAACACTTTCCAATATGCTGTAGCATATTTGTACATCTGAAAACTTGCCCAATTTCCCAAGAGATTGGTGGAAAGAATGAATTGTTACTCATTTCTTAAACCAAAAACAAAAAAAAGATGTGTAAGATCTCAGTTAATGTGAGGAAGACTGCATTACCAAACTAGAAAAGAGCATTTTCAGAAGAAGAATGGTTTAACCAAACATTTTGGTGCCAGTGAAGCTAGTATCAGTGCCACTAAGGTGAGGTTAGCAGCTGGCCAATGGTGCCAGCCAACATGGGACCAGTCAAATACCAAGGATTATTTTACACACTGGTTATGAATACACTGCCTGATTCCAGAGACATTGTTTTACTATAGTTCTGAGGTAAAGCTTTGGCCTAAAACATAACTTTTTTTTCATCCAGTCATGATAGAGAGATATGTGCAGAATTTTCTAAGGAAAGATAGCCCCCAAAGACCGTTTTTTTCAGATCTACCACTATTTTACCACTATCAACATTACTTATAACAACTCAGAAGACGTGTAAGTTCACTAGTCATTTTAGACAGTAAATAAAGTGGTATTTGTCTTGTAGACATTGTGACTCCTGGTTCCTATCGCCAGCAATGGAAAGAAATCTAAGTGGGTTAGTTTCTGTACAATGAACCACATCAACAATTCTTAATTTTTAATGCATTCTACAGTGACAGTTAGACTTTTCTTTACAGTTAGGCTTTAAGAAATCTCAAGCTCTCGGATGCCTTGTGAATTATAAATGAGTCTGAAACTTAGTTAGCCACAGTTTTTACAGTAATGTATCTGGGTCATGTTTCCATTAAGGTATATCTTGTTTCCAGAAAAAAAATTGTATCACGTCAGTTTAAAAATTCTATCTAATCTTTCTCTTATCTGTAAGTCAAGATCTTCCAAGCCTTGAAACATAACACTACTCATAAGGCCTAGTGCTAAAACTCTGCCTTGAAAAAACTAGGATAGCTAATCTTCTCTCAGGCAAAGCTGTGTCCTGTTCATGTACTATTTCCCGCAGCCGGAACATGCATCCCCTGGTGAGCCCCCAGACCTGTCCGACACACCCTCCAGCCCGCATAAGGCTGTGATGAGATGTAACGTGATTGTGGAGCATAAGCATGCTGCCCTAGGCCAGAGACTGCCAGTAGCAGTAGGCCAGCGAGGCGCAAAATAAGGACAACAACACATCGGAGAAGCATGAGAGCATGATGACGTGCTGCACTGATGTCACCTGAGTGGTGGAGCGCAGAAAAGACAGAGCGGGTAGAGGAGGGGAGAAGGACAGTAATTTGGTCAGATAAGGTCAGCCAGTGTGTAGCTCTTGTGAGCTGTCTCAGACAGACAGTCACAGTCTTGATGAATCCTCCTGTCATGAACAGTAAAGATGATCAAAAACTCACACATAATGGCAAACATCCTCTGTCTGTTGCACATCTCGCTAGGGAGCCCAGTTCAATGGCTCCCTGGGCTGGGCTTTCCTCAACAGCTGTGCTCTTATCCCCAATCACAACAACACAGTTAATACACTTCTGTTAAAAATGTGGTTTGGCTGACAATTTATACAATTTCTTTCAGCCTAAATGTAGCCAATCGACCAAAATTAGTTTGCTTCTTTAGTTTTTCACTGGAGCTACAAGGCTATGTACCTAACAGGTAATGGAAGCTTATAGCCTCCTGTTAGCACCATGCAAACCTAATGCCTAAATTACTCTCCCAACTCTAGTTCTTGACCCACCTGCTCCTGGCATAGTCTTGTATTTTCCTTGCTCGATCACTCCTGTTCCATATCATTAGCTAACTATCTGCCCTATTAGGTTTTTGAGCTGCATCACAACTATGAAAAGAGGCTTGCTTATATGCTGTATTATATATTTCTATCTAAAAATGGAGAAAATAGGTAGCATAGCTAAAAACAAGCTAAGAACAGAAGTAGCAGCCATGTCATACAGTATCTTACAGTGAGATTACCTACAGTGGTCCTAAAGGATTAATGTCAATTACGAAAGTAATATAAATGGCCTAGGAGCATCATTTACCCTCAAAAAAGATTGCTAAAACCTATGAAAAATCTGTGAATATTTACATGGGAAATACCCATGTCATTTGACTCCCCCCTCCCCTACCCTGATTATGCTATGCTATTAGCTTTAGTATTACAAAATAGTAAGAAGCAACACTGAGGAAATATGTTTGAACCTCAGACTGATGTACGAGAATATAAGTTAGTTAATTACTGTCTTTTACTTTCATTGCTTGCCGTTGTCGTATAACTGTATAACTACACTTTTCTGCTGAAAGTAACTTTCTGAATTTGCTGGTTTGTTGTAGCTTAAGGCTTCTTATTTAGTAATTACATGAAAACAACAACAACAACAATAATAATAATAGTTTAAACGTGTTTGAGGACAGTTGTGTTTACTGTCAGTGCAGTTTTGGACAAGTGTGTGATGATTTAGGTATGTAGTTGCACAATACTGAACTAGTGACTCTAAGCATTGATTACATTCCAGTACATTAGACTGAGAGCTCCGGTGCAAAATTTACAAAGCAAACTATTTTTGAAGAAAGGGGAAAAACTTTGTCCAGCATAGGCAGTGGAGTGAGGTCTTATAAGACTGTCCCAGATTGTGGAGGACGTGTAGTGATTATTCTTAGCCAGCTGTGTTCTGATTCCAGCCTCATTAGGGCCTCCTCTGGGCCCACTCCCTTCACTCAGACTTACGCTGACTCAGTTCTGTTTTCAGCCGCCATGCTGTGTCATACATGCACTCTCACCCACTGTGGGGGTGGCATGAGTTTATACATCCAGACAATGCAGCCCTTCTGTTATCTCCAGTCCAGTTCCATTTGCTGTGATTTGCATCGTTCAAACACTGCAGAATGTATCATGTTCACCTATCTGTTAGACTGCTAACCGCACTGTCCAAATAATGCTATTATTAGCTACAATAGTGCATGCTCTGTAGCCAAAAGTTTCAGTTGACTGTGTCATTAACCTGTAATTAGCATATTTGTCCCTCTTTCTGGATGCTCCCTAGTAGTTATTGTGGTTACAGATATTTTTAATCAATGTAATCAAATAAAATATTTTCCTCCATAACTCTATTACTACTAAGATTGACTAGGACACTGTTGACTCTTTGTGTGTAAAATGTTTTAGTCTATGTTGAGCTGCTAGCGAGCAATGATGAGTGAAAGGAGATGGAGTACTTTTGAAAGTGCAATAGGATTGTAAAGGAATCAAAGGAAATTGTCCTTTTTATGCTCAGACAGAAAACAGAGATTTAAGTTTAGAACCTCTGGAATCTTTGGAACTGGAACCTCTGATCATCAAATGGCTCCAATCAGTAATCACTGCTGACCAGCATGGACATCCTCTTTAGGGAAGCTAACGCATCTTCTTTACCCTGAATTTCTAAGCAGAATGTTGATCGTTCTTCTCTCCTTCCCCTTGATCAATAAATCATAAATACAGCTGCAATGCTTACTAAGCATGCCAGATAACTTTCCTACTTGCTGAAACATACACTCATATCTAAAACTCATGAGCCTAAGGCCTGTACAGAATTTATACACGGTTTCTTTTACAAATTATAGTGTAATGTTATCAAATAAATTTGGCCCCCAAGACAAAAAAATTGGCCACACCTGTTCTACACTAGCCAAAGTTTTTTTTCCCTATTTTGTTTCCCATTTTAAAACGTTATATTTAAGAGCGTATGAGAGAAAGTGATCGGACACAGTTGTTGCCAGAGAGTGAACTTGAGGCCATGGCATTGCTGAGTCCTTCCTGAGCTCCTCAGATGTTCAGCTACCAGGCAGCAGCCTGGAGGAAAGATATGCAAGCTGGGAAACAAGCTGTCTGAATCACAGCTGTCTGAACTGTTTGCTAAATCATAAAAAAAACAAGATGTTCTTTTGTTTTCTGTTTACATCTAACATATTTACCTCAACACTTCCTTCTTTTTAGACCTCCTACATACAATATGTGTCCAGGAGTTTGTAGACACCTGCTCATGCAGTGTTTCTCAGAAATTAAGGCTTTTAAGAGGGAGTTTGTCCCCTTTGCTGCAGTAACAGCCTCTGCTCTTCTGAGAAAGCTTTACATTAAATGTTGAAACATTGCTGTGAGGATTTGATTGTATTTGGCCACAAGAACATTCGTGAGGTCAGCTACTGATGTTAGATGATTCGTCTACTAATGCTGCTCCAGCTCAAGGTACTGGATGGAGCTCCATCACTCGCCCAACGCTGGACAACTTTATACCCCTTTAGCTGATGCGTTCACAGCAGTCATAAGGCTTCATAACACCTACTTAAGTCTTTAATGACAACAGCACTGTCAGTTAATTAAATTTCTAATAATAGAATGTGCCGTATGCTCTACCAACTTATTACTTGAAGTTTTTTGAATTGAAAGTCATATTTATAAAAACTCATTCCAACAAGTGTTAGTTATCGTTACACTTGTTGAGGAGGAACATCATTAAGCAGCCTTTATGACAACTCATGCTAGTTGGAACAAGCATTTAAAAATATTCATGAAGATTTATGTCAG